AAACCAGCACAAACATAGCACTAATGTTTGACACCAATTTTGTTTGATTTCATAAAAGTGGGGGGGCTGGTTGACCTTTTGACCTTTACACTTTCATTAATATCTTCAAAGCCAAAGCAGCACAAACAAACATTTTTGCTGCACAAATCAACACAAACGTAGCCGAGTTGATTGACACCCATTTTGTCTGATTTGAAGAAGGTGGAGGGCTGGTTGACCTTGGATGACCTCTGGAAACATTTCTTTATATCTTTAAAATGATAGCGGCACAAACGAAAATTTTTGCTGCACAAACGTAGCACAAACATTTGACACCAATTTTATCTGACTTGAAGAAGGTGGGGGGGGCCAACTTCACTCAGGTCTTTTGACCTGGTGGCGATCACCTGTGTCAGTCAGTTATGGTAGATCTGAACTTTGGTTTGATGAACTCAATATGAGAAACTTCAGACTGACAGGAGTTAGGTTAAAGCCACATCTTGTGAAGTTGGTATATTTTTCCTCCAACAGGATCCAGAGAAATCGCAACAAACCAGAAGTGGGACTAGAATTTATTTCAATGTCATTTGTGAATGTCAGCTTCTCATTTTCAACAGTGGAGCTTTAAAAGTTGAAAGGTTATTTTGGAGAGTTTTAACGCATCAAAAAGCCTCTCAGACTCAAAGCAAGATGCCAGAGCGCACAAAACTTTAAAAAAATATATTAATTTCACATAATTATCGCGGTATAAGCCATTTGTTTGTTACTTAATGAAATATAGCCACAGACGAGCGAGGTAGTTAGTCCAAGTTTGTCGTTTATTGAACGTTCATAAACTACAGCGGCTGTGATGCATCCCTGCAAAGGTAAACAAATGTAAAATAACAGCAATGATTCTAAACCTCTCCTACCTTTTTACTGTCGTTTAATCAACCTGTTGCCGTGGCAACCACCTGCGCCCCACAAACCCAGCAGAGATTAGCTAAAAACACAACGGATTCAGTCCGTTAAGATTTTAGGTTTTCAGTCTTCATATTTATTTCTCGGTTAAAAAGCCTCTCCTCTCATGAACACAGCGGTGGCTGATTAGCCAATTTAAACTTATGCTCTGCTCATCAGGGTCTTTGAGTCCCTTTTTACTTTTGTAATGGTACCGAAATGCACAGAAAGGCGCAACACCTTGTTTAAACAATAATTACTGAGATTATTAATTTTGTTGGGCCATTAATTTGAACACGTTTTGTTGATTTTATCCTTAAGATGTATTTGATCAGAGGACAAGCTGGTCTCAACATCCTGGCGGCGTTCAGTTTGTCACCTAGTGCCGAGATCAACTCAAAACCTTCCGCGATCGTGGCACCTATTGATTAAATATGACTGTAGTTGGAAAACAAACATCAGCGTTAGCTTACAGTGCAACATCTGGGCAACCGGAGGATCCTGGACGGACAGCAGCGGTGCATGTCTGAAAGATGGCCTCCGAAGCAGATCTCCAAGGCTTGGCACTCTCACTCTCTCAGCTCGATGCTCCATAGAGCTGCCTCTGGATATTGTACTTCACTTACTAAAGTCTGCTCCTTATAGTTGGATCACAGCTGGTAGCTACAAAGGTGTCCCGAACCTTCAATCGTAAGCCAACTTCAGCGGCCGCTACGTCCAAACTATAAAACCCCCCCCCGACGGTGAAGCTCTGAGTCCATGAGAGCCGCCAGCTGAAACACGTTCTGTCTGAGCGGCAACACCAAAAATAAAGTCAGGAGTAATAACACTATTTTCTAATGAAGTTAATGAGCTTCAGCTTATTGATAACCCGGTAGTAGGTCGCCATCTTTCTTGAAGCAAAGTACAGGTGACGCTAACCAACCAATTGGGGAAGGTGTAGCCTGATGACGTGCCTCTCCTCATTTGCATTTATTTTTTTCTAAGTTTTGCGGGGAAATAGAATGTGATAAATAAGGAAATACNAACAGGTTGTTTACTGAGAAAAATACTTTTGTTATTCATTGCTACTATGTGTGTTAATTATTTTATTCACATATTCCATGGTTAACCACTTTTAATTCCCCAATATATCTTTATTTATGTGACAGACTGGCGACCTGTCCAAGCTGTACCCCGCCTCTCGCCCGAAACATTAGCTGGAGATAGGCACCAGCACCCCTCCGGACCCCACTAAGGGACAAGGGTGTAAAGAAAATGGATGGATGGATGGATGGATCGATGTATCTTTATTTAATTATGTATTTGTTAGTCGTGTTATGACTCCCACACCACCAGAGGCAGTAGCAGACCACAAAAAATGCAAATAAGGAGCAGATTTAGAAGTACACAGAAAACTACAGAATTTGAGAACTGTGAGCTGTGCTGAAATAAATAAAGGAGAGAAGTTCAAATACATTCTGAGAGTGGACCTCCTTCATAAAGGAGAATTTATCAAGAGATTTCAAAAGAAAATAAACACAGGAGACTGTGGATTATATAGGAAATAGCACCCCCTTCTTTTGCGGGAGGGCAATGGTCCTATGTCCAAATCGGTCTGTTGCGTGGTCCGCCCATGGCCCCCTTCCGTTTGATGCACCACCTGGTGCTCTGTGCTTGACCCCTTAAAGAAGCCAGCATGACAGGTTTTAGGCAGCCTTCTCCTCACTCTGCATTGTTTCTTTAATTTGACCAGCACTGAGCAATCCATTTGCATTGAAAAGCTAATCTTAATTGTGTATTAAGAAGTGAAGTCTAAAGCTCTGTTTACTGAAACTGTTCCTCTTTTTACAGGCAGCAAATACAGCACTATACCAACCAGCTTGCTAAAGAAACCAACAGGCATCTTAAAGAGTTGGGCTCAGTCCCTTTGGCATCATCACCCTCAGAACAAGTGAGTGTCGATGTGCATTTGTTAATGCATCAAACTCGCCTTTAAAGCTGATTTAATTTTTTCTTCCCAACAAAACTCAGTTGGAAAATGCTAATATCACCTAAGACCTACCCTCTGAGAACAAGAAGTCGAATATCTGACTCTTATATTTTTCATATTGTTTTGTTTACCTCCTTAACCTAATCAATATGAAACGGTGCCAGAAGACAAGTTGGAATAAATCTCAGAGTCTCCAGTACTGAGACTTCTGGGCTGATACTATGGTTGTGGTAATAATAATAATAGTCATAATAATACAAGATGAGTTCATAAAAGCCAAAACCAAGAAGGAATACTACCAGCACATCAGAACTGAACTCTAAGAACAAGATTGCTACAATCAACAGTTTAGCAGTGCCAGTGGTTATCTATGACTTTGGTGTACTCTTGTGGACCAAGCAGAACATCAAGGATATGGACTATAAGACCAGAAAATTTCTGATTATACGTATATGGCCTGTTACACCAAAGGGCAGATGTTGAGCGCTTATACATCTCGTGATGCCAAGGAGGACGTGGCCTGCTCCAACTTGAAACCACTGAAGAGGCAGCAGCAGTATGATTACCTGGGACAGTATGAGGGTCGACTTGTCCAACTTCTTCGAGACTTCGAAAAGACCCTTGAGGTAGATTGAGGTCATTGGTGGACAGTGACAGTGTTGGTACAGTTTGACTGTGATGGGGTCGTGCCCCCTAGTAAGTGGAGGTGTGAGAAGGGAGAAGTGAGGATAATGACCCTGATTGTGGCCCTGTTTGCACTGGCTGTGAGCAGTGACTTTCTCCATGTACTCTTCTTCTTTTACTTTTACTCCATCACCATCATTATTATCATCATCTTCAAAATTTTTATCTGTTCTTGCTGCATGCAAATGTTGGCCAATCTGGCTTGTTACTGTCTTCAGGACATCTTTAAAACGGTGGCCGCTTTTATCAGCAGTTCAGTAAGTTCAGTATTGGGGTGGTGGCTGCTGCTGCTGTCCACTGTGGCTGCATACTCAAGAGCCAAAGTCACTACATGGAACACGAGGTCAGCATTCGAGGTGCTGGAGGTACCATCATGGGAGGACAAGCCCCTACATGGGATGTACCACCAACAAATAACTGACGTGGCTGATATCAGGAAATCCTATCAATGGCTGGAAAAAGCTGGACTCAAAGACAGCACAGAGGCCCTCATCCTGGCTGCACAGGAACAGGCCCTAAACACCAGAGCAATAGAGGCTCAGATCTGCACACCAGACAAGACCCAAGGTGTAGGTTGTGCAAGGAGGCCTCTGAGACAGTCCAGCACATAACAGCAGGGTGCAAGATGCTGGCAGGGAAAGCGTACATGGAACGACATAACCAAGTGGCGGGCATAGTGTACAGAAACATCTGTGCAGAAAAATTGTGGAAAAAAAAATCTGAAAACATTACAAAGAACTTCTTGCATTAAGTAAGCTGAGCTGAAAATTGTAATGTAAAAAAAAAGTTGTTTCATAGTTGAAACCTAAACTGAAAATGTTTGTCCTGTTTGTTTATGTGGGATTCATATAAAACCTCTTGTACAGACAAAACATTGTGATTTCTTTTAACCCATTGTTTCTAACTACATTTACTTATGCCACCCAGAGGCAACAAAGGATCCAAAGGGACCGGCTTATGAATGACTTTTCCGCAGCGCTCAACAACTTCCAAGCTGTCCAGCGACGTGCAGCAGAAAAAGAGAGGGAATCAATAGCAAGAGCAAGGGCTGGTTCCTGTCTATCAGTAAGTAAGCTATAGAGGTGACTTCACAAATTCCAGATTGTTAAATAGGAATTAAACTCTACAACATAAAATTATAACAAGTAATTTTAAATGAGCACTGTAACCAATAGTAATAAAGTGCCAGTATACTTTATGTATTTTGTAGTTTGCAGGATTTCCTCTAGCAGGGTGCCAGGTTTTACTTGTCCCCTCCTGCCAAGCTAGGCATTGCTTGTTTTTACTTCAAATAGTTTCTGATTCTTGTTCCCTTTTATTAATTAAACAGTGTCCCCACCATTCTCTGTGGGTTGTAGTATTTCGCCTATTACATCTGTGGTGAGCAATAAGGGCAGTTGGAGTGCAACCAGCTGGTCAAATGTTATTGAAATGCACAGCGTGAATGCACAACATTGAAATACAGTCTCCTACCAAACGCTGCATTCAATCAGTGATTACAACTTCACACAATGATATTGTGATAACAATTATGATTCAATATGATGTGCATTTCTGGTTTTAATTAAGTTTGCATTCAGAATGTGTTTAATAATGTACCTACACATAAGTCCTAATCATCTGTACATTTAAAGAATCTATATAATTATGGAGTCATTTAACTAGCTAACTATTCTCTTTTTTGCTGCACCTTGTTGCCACAATATTGCTACTGTTGCTTAAGTGGCATTGGACTCTGACTATGTTACTATTTAGATAAAGCTGTTTTAACCATTTTCTTTCAGAATGAAGACCGTTTTCGGGATGAAAAGCTTGTCTCCTTTGATAAGTAAGTAAATCATTCTTATAGGTTTACTCTGGAAGTATAAATAATATTTTGCATTTTGCAGGATTTATTGAAATTTAGTGTCAATTTAAATAGAAAATGAATCTAGATTATACTAAAGTAATTTATTACATATAAATGAAAAGATTCATGTGAAATTAATCTATTCATCATTAATAGTACATCATTAATTTCTGTTTTAAATGTAAATAAGATTTTCTTTCAGAATTGACACATATTTCACATTTTTATTATCTTTCAGGAGAAGACGGTTTTATTTCCTATAAGAAATAAAGTTTCTGCTAGCATATTTTAGGATTAACTGTAGATTAAACAATGAAATGAGTTTTCATAAACATATATTTTCATGTTATTTTTCACAAAGAGCAATAACTTGTTTATCATTAGGAAATTAGATTTTAGTTGTTATTTCACCTCTAACATCTGTGTTTGAAAAGCCAAGAGGACCTTGGTCCAATAACCACCCAGACAGAAGAAATGGCCATTACAGAGGAAGATCTGGAGCTCATCAAGGAGAGAGAAACCAATATCAGACAGCTTGAGGTGAGCATTTGCTTACTGTTGCTTGATATACAATGTATATATCAACCTGTAGGCCCATTTACGTATATGTTTATTTGTGTACGCTTCATATGTATTTCTGTTTGAATGTAAAGTACTTTGGCTACCCTGGTGATTTTTGAAATGTGCTATGAAACTAAAGTTGTTTGATTGAGTTGATTGATTTAATAAATCAACTCTAATAAATTCTAATTTATTTGAATTTATTAGAATTACAAGTCAATTTATTGAAAGTCAGTTTATTTCAGAAACTTTATCACTAAGAGAAAAAAATTATATAGATGAATTACACAAAAGCGGATGTTTGAAATTTCTAATTGATAATTTTATGCTTACAGCTAATGAAAACATGACATTTAAAAATAGAATATAGCAATAATACAGATCTGTAATAGAGACCACTTAAGCCGTTTTCGCACTGCAAGGAACGGAACGGAACGCTTTCAAAGTAGGACCGACCGTGTTTGCATTAGAATAGCGGTTCTCAACGTGGGCGGTACCGCCCCCCAGGGGGCGTTCAGAGGACAGCAGAGGGCGCTGGCGGACATTTTTCCAAAAGGGGGGCACTGGGATGCCTTTGGGGGGCGTTTGGTCGAAGGTAAACGTTACTCCTTAAATGCACAACAATGCCAGTTTAGACTTTGAGCAACTTGGTAAAACTGTATTGTGTAACATTAAATCATGCTTGGCTGCAACTGTATCGATGGCAGCTTTTCTATTCAGTGTTTGTTAGCTTCTGTTAGCTTCTTGGCGCAGCTCCGTTTTCCTGCTACTGGTAGCTAAAATCACGATACCCTCACTTTGTATCCCTCTGAAAAATGAACCCATTTAAATAAAGAAATCCCTCCATGGGTGAAACCACGATAGAGAGCGTTCATTTTATAGCATTAACGTCGGTGCTGTAAGGTCCGGTATGAAACAGGTGTGATAGAACAACACGGCACTTTTAAATTTCAATAATTAGAATACAGAAATTGTTTCCGTTGTTTTAAAAGGTTTATGTCTGTCTGCCTTTTCCCCATCGATACGTTTCCCGACCGCTGCGCTCCTTTGGGGGTAAAAAAAACCTCTGAAACAGGAGAAGCGGGACATAAAACGGAGCGACGAACGAAATGTGAATTACGGCATAAAAACAGAGAATCCGACGCTGAACAGTGAAAAATCAACACACGACGTGAAACATGACGATTAGGCGGTGCAGCAGGTGATGAGTGAAGATTACTGGAGGTCAATAAACGATAAAATAAATCTAGCAACAGGAAAGAAACTAAAGTGGACATAGCAATAAACTAAGAGAGGATAATATTAATCAAAGGAAACTAAATGGAAATGAATGAAGAAAAAAAATGCAAGAATAAACTAAGAAACTAAAGTAAATACAGAGGAATAAACTGGTATGGCAAGACTTTTCGAGCAATAATTAATACAAGAATAAACACACTATTTCCAGATAAAAGGTAAAATAATATTGTTGAAGTGCCATGGGTTTGTTGAGACCATATCTAATATTGAGAATAAACATATCTTACAGACCATAACAGTAAATAACTTATCACTTATTTATGTTTTTAATTATATTTGATATATTCATTTCTTCAATATTATTTTTCATGTCAGTGTTAATGTCATAGGGCTGATGACTCCATGACACTTTCAATTTGACTCATTAGGATTTGATTAAGAACCAGATTTGTTCTTTGTAATTTCTGTCCAGTAAAACTATTAATCTATAATCAATAGACAGGTCTATATAAAGATATAATCCATGTTTCTGTCTCATATTTGTATGGCATTAAAGGACCTGGAACTTTTGTTTTTCCACTGAAAGCTCTGGTTTGCACAATAAATGCAATGTGGGTGAAGTTTTATGGATGATACTCTGATGTCCCATTCTCCTGAAGGCAGCACAGAGCTGCACCACCAGAAACTGACAGAAACTGAAGAGAAGAAGAGCTACGATTAAGTAGTTACAGTTCTATCCATGTTTTAATGTTGCAGAGCTCAGTCGTTTTGCAAATAGTTCAAAGTTTAAACTGGCATGTTGAACATCTTTTATCTGGTCATTTTGGGGTATATTTAACAACTAGAAAATGGCACAAAATAAGAATATTTTTTCCATTGATTGGCTGCTGTTAGGCCTACCAATTTTAAGTTGAATGTTCATTGCATTTTTCTTAGATACCTTTGAAAATAATTTCTATTCCCATGGCTTTTTTGTTCTCTGGTAAATTATTTTTAATAATAAATACAGAAACAAGCATAAAAATCAAAACATCTACAATAGTGATAGTAATATTAATGATAAAATAATGGTCAGTGCAAAGTAGCCTGCAAATTCTTTGGTGGGGGGTGGTGAGGGACCTGGATATGGGATAGGGGGGTGCTGGGCCGAAAAAGGTTGAGAAACACTGCATTAGAACTTCTGACCGGTTCCACCCGGCCCCTTGGAACCACAAGAGGTGTGGTTCCAATTGGGCCGGCCAAGCGGTTCTGCTTAGAATCAGCAGCTGATTGGCCGCTGGTTGTTATGGAGTCAGACGTTGATTTTCCGTTGACAGCTGGCTCTCACTGAACTGTCTTTTATTTTGATGAGCAGCAAAATTAAATCCATGTCATCCATTGTTGAGTTGTTGTCGTTGTAGTAGTAACTGTTCTTTTTCTTTATTATATTGGCCAACTGGCAAGCAACCAACTCAAACCCCAAACTGGTGAAGGTTGTGAACCACATTGTTTAGTTTCAAAAATAATGACGTCCGGCACCGCTTTGATGGCACCCTCAGTGTATATGCAAACACAACAGGGCTGCAGTACGGGTGGAACTGTTCCGTTCCTTGCAGTGCGAAAAAGGCTTAAGAGAGATTCAACACCCATCACTGTCTACAATAACTCTGAAGAATTTGAAATAATATGAGCTTCAACTAGGGCTTGAGCAGGTTCGTATTTTTTAAGGTTGACTACAACATGATGAAAGTCGAGTCGGCGAATAGTCGCAGTGACGTCATGGTGACGTAAGCACAAAATGCTTCACAACAACTTAGAGCAGTGGTTCTCAACCTTTTTTGGGCCAGCGNCTTTGGCGCTATTTTGTAGAGAACTGCAATAACTGACAGAAGTAATGAACATAGAGACCAACAATTTTTTTTTTTGCAATAACCTAGCTAACAGGAGGCAGTTCAGTCAGATAGTTTGTCACATTATGACCACCAGATGTGGTCATAATGTGTCAAATTAATTGTAAGTAACACCAATATTCTTGAATGTGCTCTAAAAGTTCAACCAAATCTCTACAAAGTATAAATTATATATTTTCTATTTATCCGTGCATCAAACAAGTTTTCTGCTATTCATTTTAAGAAATTTCATCAAATTTAAAACCTACAAACACAAATACAAAGTTGCTGCAACTTTGTGTTTGTTAAAAACAAAACTGTAACAAACACAGATCGAAAGACAGATTTTTGTAATGAGCAATTGTGTCACTAAAAAAAACGCATAAACACAAATAGTAAAAACAGAACTGATGTCAAGAAGAACAATAACAGATATTTTATAATTATCAAAACTGATTGTAAGATAATTTATACTGTGTGTTTATCTCTAAAACTTGACTGGTTACGGGACAGTTGTAGACAGTATCTGAAAAAGCAAGTACACCATCATAATGTGACACATCTAGAGAATGAGGACCTTTTATAGTTTAATATTGGAGGAAAATGATTCCAATATAGATCCTTGTATTGCCAATTGAATCTCACATGGTGGTATTATTTTAATAAATGGATGGTTTATTTTTAGAAAGTAACATTAACATCACAACATTTAAATTTTACTATGAACAGTTACATTATCAGTATTATTATGGATTTACTAAATGTAACGTGGTTATGTAAAAATTATAACTAAAATTAATAATGAATAACATAAGTGGCTTATTTACATTAACGTCTCACATAAAATAGTAGTATATAAACTCAAGGCGATTTTTCAGGAAGTTACAGATTTTCCTTATTGTGTGCAAATTGAAAGACTGTCTAATTTTTATACTATCCCAGCGTGAACTGCTGACAAGTAACGGTAAACACAAGAGACTGAATTAATCAAACTGGCCGCTGGAAGAAACCACGTCACTCACGTTATGTAGTATGGAACCTGTAGTTTATCAAGCATTTTAATGTATCTGAGATGGTTACAAGAGAACTACAAACCCCAGCGTCAGCTGCGAGATAGAGCGTGACATACGCGTGGACTAACACTATGGCGTTGTACAGACGTGTTTGACAGGCAGGCTAAGGTCTCAAAAACATCCCCGGACCGACACGTCTGAGCCCACTAACCTTCTGCCAGCAACGGCGGGACGACAACTAAAGATGAGCTCCAGAATTAAGTAAGAATACTTTGCCGCAGTTTTTCTGGAGGTTGTTAGCAGGCTGCTGTTGTTAGCTTTGTTCTCACAGTCCCTGAGAACGAAAGAATATGGAAGGCCCTGACTTGTTGCGACACTGGTTGAAGTACTGGTGCCTCTCCCTCCACTTATCTGACCAGAGAATAACATTGCTTTGTTAAAGCTTTTAGACTGTGAGATTAACCATCATCCATAGAAGCTGCTAATTAGTTGGTGCTTTTGCTAAACAAGCAGAAAAACAGATAAGTGGCGCCGAACGTCATTATGAAAGATGCAGTTGTTATGGTAACAGTGGGACATTATTACTAAACAGTGTGTGAGGTTTCAGGCCTTAAGTGTTGAAATAAAGTTAATGATAAAATTTTGAAATATGACTTGTCAAACATGCTTTTCTATGGGCTTCAATTGTGTTAATTATATGTGATTCTTATCGTCTGCTTAGTCAGGTTCTTTTAGTTTTTTTTTTCCTCTTTTGAGTCATTTACCAAAATTGACTATTTAGAGAAAATAACTAAAGTTTTGATAAGTAAAATGTAAGAGTGAACAGAAATATTACCAACAGTTAGTTTGCATTCCTTTG